AAGCCTTTATTATCAAGGGGATAAACTATGTTACCCGTGCACCCGCAACATACACCTCCTCGCACACCTGTAGCCGTGCCTTTGAAAGTTCTACTGACAACACGAATTGCTCTTCAACTCCGCATGGAAGGCTCGGGAAGCATAATAAAAACAACTTCACTCAACATCATTTGCCTTGAGGTGCAAAGGCTTTCTATTCTGCGTATTCTACAATGTTAGTCTCTCTTTGCTCTGCAAATATTGATAGTCTGCCACAAAGCATTTTACAACAATGTATCGCCCAAAATGCTTTCGTTTTCCCAAATTCAGGCTTCCAGCCCCATCCAATTTAGTAAGGCTACTAATCTACCATTCACGAATGTCCAGAATAGGTTTAAAACCATGCATTAGTTCTTGGGATTGCTTAGGATTGAAGCATATAGCTTGGCAGTCAATTTGATGAAGCGAAAAATTGTACCTACCATTACGATTAAGAAGAGTTCAATTCCTTATGCCAACTACACTCAGAAAATGAATCGGAGGAGAACACATAACTTGTTCGCTTTCGCGTGGCGAATTAGGGGTATCTCCTCAATTACTACTTTTAGGTGTCCACATTCACCAATGCAGACGCATAAGTGGCACAATCCCTGCTGCCAACTAATCAGATTGTGACAATTTCGCTGCATAGCTTACCTTTACTTCCAGACTTCCCATTTTAGCATTTGTAACCATTTTTAGATTTTAAAGTGCTTTAAAAGCGCAACACATTAAGTTGGTTAAACATTAAAACATTGTTTCAGCGTCGTCATGTCCTAAAACCCACAAATGAATGTATCATTGATGCAGTCCACATAGGCAGTTGCGTTGGCAAACAAATTTCTCAATCGTCGAATGCAATGGACGAGGCAATAAGTGAACAATATAGAGTACAAAACTTAGCAAGTGGTACTAAATTCCACTTAACACTAATTTATTTCTGGGAACTTAATGTGAAAAGTGAATAAATGCCAAGCGAAGACGAACTTGGAGATATGATGCCTCAACTTCTGATCACAAAAAGACCATTCAACGCCAACTATTGCAGATGACTTGTTTCATTATCTGACCTTAGTACCAATGAAAAAGAACGCAGAAACGAGAATTCACTTAGGTTCAGAGTTCGCTAAGTACTCCGAACCACATGCCTGTGGAACTTGGAATTGTTAAGTTATTAAAACTTAGTGCATATGCTGGCGAGCGCGACGTCCCTCGATTGTTTCAATCGTGGATCACTTAAGCACTCGAAAGGTATTTCTGTATGTGTCAACATAACCGATGCAGTCTAGCTAAGGTGGGCATTTTAGCATGGCTTGAAATCCAATCTCCGTTGCCAAATAGCTCTGTGCTGCAAGTTTTTGACGGTCTGACGCAAGGATTAGGTTTGAGATACCGACTTGTGAAGACGCCACTTTCCACTTGTATGAGACACTGCCTTGATTGTTTAACTCATCAAATCAATCTGTCAGTCATTGAGGAACGTCAAAAGCCGTATTGTCGACAAGGTGCTCTATCCTCTTTTTAATTCTTCATTCGATTAACCCCAGGACCCATCAGGTGCTGGTGTTCATTTGGAATCAGCATTGCTTTCAATACTACTACTGAGAGAAGCCAAATCTAACCACATCGACAAGTATGCACCAGAAAAAAATACAAGTAATACAAATACTGGTAATTTTTCCTTTTAAAAAACACTTCTAAAATTGGTAGGGATTCGATTTTCGGAGTTTAAGTAGCCTCTGACAATTTTTAGCCATTGTTCGACCAAATACCCACATTCTCCAATAGCAGTCATTTTCAGAGCCCTGCAAGAAGGTCAGGACGAGAGGGGAGAGGGAGAGGCAAGTCAAATTCTACTCCATGAGGTCATGCGATAAGTGACAGTTCGATTGCTAAGGCAGAAAATGTAATAGCAACAAGGGAATCATTCTTTGGTTCCCAGTAGTCCAACTTATTGACACTGAATAAGATGATTGGGTATCAAAATCTCAAATTCTTTTAACTTAAACTTAAATCTCTCAGATTCCATTTTTTTGATAAAAAAGACTAAGCTACAGATTTTTAAGCAATTTTCCTTTCGTAAATCACGAAAGAGTTATAATCTAACTGCCTGATTTACTCATAAATACCACCAACCGCTATAACTACTTGATCGCTTCTGCTTTAAGGATTTTCTTCCAGTTGTAGGCACTGTAATCTCAATTTATCTGTCATCAGACCTTCGTCTTCCCCTAAAAAAGGTGTAGTACTGTGAAGCAAGTGAAGAATCCACACCGTTGCTTTCGTTAGCGTTAAATACTTACCCGACTCAACTAGAATAGGTCGTTTTTATTGCCTGCTTTTACCCTTCACCCCTGGCGCGTGTCCTTACGCTGAAGATGCAGGTCAGATTTATTTGTAAAAGTGAGCATTTGTAAGGTGAGTCAAAGTAATCTAAGATTGGCTATAAAGGTCAGTAATTTTTGGGATAGAACAGTCATCCAGTAGAGCAGTCAAGGGCCATTTGAGTTTGTTAAGGTGTTGCCATCAGCTTGGATGAGGTTAAGGCCAGAATACGAAACATAAGCGACCAGTCCAGCATAAGACGTTCATTAAGAATAATGCGTTTAAAGCACTCAAGGCTGAGAACTGGCATTTAGTGTAGCAATGCAGATACCTAGAGAGCTCGCTCGCTCGCTTATTATTAAGCTTTACTTGTCAGAACAGGCTTTCTTAAAACATTGCAGGAGAGGGACTAAATAACCGTCTCCTGCTGATAGCTTGAATGTCCTTTTATTAAAATCTACCAAGTTATACTGCATCTTAATAGGGCAACGTCAACTCGTAAAAGGTAGAAATTCGGCTTCACAAGAACAAATTTGTTCGTCGCATAACTACATTTACTTCATTTCTTTAAATTTCCAGTTTTGTGCTTATTTGTATTAAAAGCATGAGCGGATCGTATGCATCAGGGTAAGCGCAAACTTGGCGAGTGGTGAAACAATGAATTTAGAGACGTAGGAAGGAGAGATGGCCGCTTAAAGTGTTGGCAATTTGTACTATAACACCCGTTCACTTTTCATCCCCATTTTTGCGATGGAAAAATGAAAATAGCGAACTAAAGAAGTACTTTTGATCTAAAATATCCGTGCAGAGAGGCAGAGGTGGTATTTGGACCCATGTGTGGTGAGTAACGGATGCTACTCCACTACTTCTGCCGCGTATCACTTATTTGAGGTATCGCGGTTGATACCACAGACTTCCTACCGTTTAACAACACTACTCCTATTTCAAAGAAAACGGCTGAAACTACTAGTTCGTGGCTTGCACAACAGTAATGACTGTCGAATGTTAATCATGTCGGCATACTTTCAAGGACTGTGTTGATTGGGTCCTGCATTAGAGTACCCGGCATGTGCGAGTGACACATACGCCTCTGAACTCGTAGCGACATCATGCATCGCATCGAGCCCATGGATTTTACCTTATTTTCTGAAACCTTCACCCTCAACCTCATCTGACGATTTTCGCACCGCAGATTTAATGCGCGCATCGTTATGAGATGATTTAATAATCTACTCTTTCATCCTTTGGCCCTAAGGTCTCTCTATACCACTGTGACTTCCTAACTATACTGATTACAGACGACGTCGGTGATGACAAAGTATGTAGACTGCGAAGCGCTGGAAATAGCTTTTATCAACCGGCTACCACATGAAACGGAACAAAGGCAGATCCTGTCAGGACTAAGATGTTGCGAGTCAAGTTTAAGAAATCTGCAAATTATTTTTAGTAGTGCTTAGCAGGACCTTGCAATAATACATCATTTGCAGTGTAATCTCCACACAACCGAACAGCGCTGAAAAGGCAAAGAAGCAAAAAAATGTGGAGCATTTAAGGATACCCTTTACCGAAATTACCATCACGCATTCCGAAATCTTTACAACGATGCAAATCCAATCCACCCAACAGCACCGACTTGTCTCCACTAGAGGTATCGATCTGCTGCTTCGACAAGAGTGGAATGACCAATTGATGAACCGGTGATCGAAATGTTGGCTGTACGACACCTCGGAATCTAGATCATTATCCAAAGGCATTCGTTTTCCTCATGTAGGATTCTAAGCCCAAGGTATCTAAGAAAAACCACTCACAAACCATCACGTACCTTTCATTTTGCCATTCAAACCACATACATCGACACTTAATCTGACAAAACTTGTTCGCATACCCCATTGATAGTGGACAGGTTCAAAAAAGAGCCTTTTTCGCTTAACCAATAACACGCACCGCGATCCTAATGAAAGCACATATTAGTCAAGTTGGAATTATTCTTGCAAGCATTTCTGCAAAAGCTAGAAGTAGAGCAAGCCTCCCATGGTGTCCTTCGAGCGACCCCGCTCCAATCGCGAGTTTACCATACCACACTCCAACAATCCTGAGTTATTGGTCGTGCTAACTCTGAGAAAATTGTATTATGTGCAAAACGCACCCATCCACGCTGAAAAATAAAGCTCCGGAATTTTAGTTATATTTTCCATTATCAAATATAGGTCAAAATCATCTGAAAAAAAGAACTATAAAGCCAAGACCCGTCCCAGCACTCAATCCAGTTCATACTAAAGAGGCGAAGTGTCAGACGGAGAACAGCGTGTACACGGAGTGTTACCTGAACCGCTGTTGAGGAAGTGCAGTAAGGAGGGGTGAGGAGAAGGTTCGGGAGCACATAGGCGTCAGGCTGTACATACGGGTGAGTACACTGGACAAGAACAATTCACACGCACGATGGGATACAATGTGCACACACGAAGACATCGCCGTAGAGAAAGAGGGCTATATTATTGCCGGTCCAAATGCTTGAACACAGTCGCACATGTACACGCTACAGTAAAAGATTGGTCGAGCGTACTTAGCATCTAGAATGGGGTAGTGCAAGTTAAATTTCAAATATACAGGATGCCGAAAGACCATGTGGAGGCTTTAAGGGAAGGGGAAGTAACACATCAACGAGTTATTTGGTGTTGGGGGGGTTGAGAAGGCTGTGACTGAGATGAGCCTTCCTGTAGTGGCCTCTGCAGTAACTGCTGGTGCTGCTGCAGTTGTGAATGTGGTTGAACAAGTAATTGTGAGAGCATTAGAGAGGGCTGTTGCTGAGACACGTAGGGTGGTGGAGGGGGCCTAGGTGAGACTGGTGCCGGCACGGGCATCCGTTGCTGTGCGATTGGACCTCTCAGCATACCTCCAGGGCTTGTGGAAGTGGAAATGGGTGAGGGGTAGCGGGAAGAAAATGCAGACGTCGGGTAGGGGTTAGTCGTCATGACAGAATGCTGCTGCTGTTGTTGCTGTTGCAAATTCGGACTGCAGGGAAATTTGCCCTGAGGAACGTAACACGGCTGACGCACACTCCAAAGGTCCTGTGGTTGTTGCTGCATAGGCCAAGAATTAGAAATTGCGTTTTGACTTTGTTGTACCATCCGTTGCTGCTGCGGAGCAGAAGTAAAGCCAACATTGCCGCGCATCAACTGCTGTGGCATAGGCTGTTGAGGGGAATACTGGAAAGACTTCGAGGGCGCCATGACCTTCTGTTGGCTGCGGATGTAGTTCCAGGCAGGGACAAGATGTGGCTGCTGATGCAACCATGATGTAAACTATTCAAGGCCAGAAATTGTGACTTAACACACCATACGAAGTGCTACCTTCACAAACTAGCAACCGGACTCTCAAGGATCCAGAATTAATTTAAAACCCGACTAAAACTTTACATAAGTCATGAAGTCAGTAATAGCTGAATTCCTGCCACTTAGATAACCTTAAAAACAAAAAAATTGAGCAACATTAAATAAACCCAACACAATTGCATGAGTGAGAGGATAAAATGCGTTCAACTAAGCTATTCATGATATTTCGACAAATAAATGACAGGTTCCCACAATAATGAAGAATAGATAGAAAGATACCTCAATTTCGCTCGTAATACTTCGTCTCGCAGAGAGCACCATTTCCACCTCTGTAGAAGATGGCGGCTGAATCGCAGTACTTCCCAGATGTGAGGGCGGTGTATTATTTTGGATAGGCAAAGGCTGTTGTGGCCTCAATGGACCCATTTGGGCCATCTTGCCACCAGCCATTGCACCAGGTGGCATAATTTGTCCGTTTGACACAGCAACACCACTACCCCAGTGTAGCATCGACTGCTGCTGTTGCTCTGGAGCAGGACCCTGCAAACTCGCCTGTTGACCATGCGGTGACATCACTAAACGGGACGGCTTCAAATTTTGGCTTCCGCCGCCCATAGCGTACATGTTTGCGCCTACGGTACTGGCGGACACTACATCACAATCGCCAAAAAAAGGTCGCTTTACTCCAGCTGCCGACAAGGAGTATACGTCCTCACTTTCTGGAGTAGGCATCTGGTAAGGCAGTCGAGGACTCACGGCGACCATAGGATTCCTAACGTAAGATGACTGGCCATTTTCATAGAAGTTGCTAGTGGAATTGTTACTTTGCCTTACAAATCCGGCTTCGCTAGGATAACTCCTGGTTTGCGGAGTGTGGGTCGGATGTATTTGATGTTGCTGCACAATTTGAGGCTGTTGCTGATGATATAACGACTGCTGAGGATACGGGGACGCCACTGATGAAGCTTGGTGATAGTCAGCCGGAGAGGGGAGGTGAGGCGTCTGGTGGCTGTTTATGTTCTTTGTGGCGATCACGGACAGTGGAGAAGTATGGGGTGCATGTTGATAAGGTGAGGAGTGAGAATACTGTAGAGCAGCGGGATGAGCCGATACCGAAGTTGGTTTAGACGGCGAGTTTCGTGAATTGGACGCGGAATGTGGAGAAGTTAAGGACGTCTGTGAAGAAAAACTATGGGGAGGCTCGGACGAACTTGGTGCATTAAACACTGTAGGACTGGCCGTAGAAGCCGCTAGCTGTTGAGCGGCACCACTAGAATTACTTGTAATGGCAACTGATTGTGGAGTATTCGGTTGCTGGGGTGTTTTGATGTTGTGAGAACACTGCATAGTCTTTTGCCTACGACGGAGAGTTTGTAGTTTCCTCAAGCGCTGTTGTGATTCCTGCTGTTTCTTTACGGCCTTGTAATGTGCGCAATACATAACCTGACAATTAGAATCATTACACTTGGTGGAATGAGCAGATAAAATCCTGTGTATCTGCCGACACCAGAAACATTTGCTGCGATCATGAAGAGTCATAAAGTGACCCAATCTACGCTTCATATCGCGACAGGCTTGGTTGCGACAATTGGCGTCCCTACAACTGGAGGTGTGTTTCAAAAGCTCCACACACCGCTCCATCTTTAGTCGGTCGGACTGTTGAACCGCTGCCGTGCTGCCATTATCGTCACTTAAAACGATCTTTTCCATTGGGTGTCGATGGCCATAAGCTTTGAAACAATCTTCGCAAAGGAAATAGTTGGGACACTGTTTACACTGCCTCGGTGCTTCAATTTCTTTTTGACAACTATTGCAACTGTAGACAAAAGCGTCTTTGTTTTCTGTGTGGATATCGTACAAAAAAGCCAGGGTGGAGAACTTTGCTCGTCGAAGGGAAGAAAACTCCAGGTGACGTTCCCGAGCCCGGCTCAAAAATGTATCTCGACATTCCATTAACTCTGACGCAAAAAGGGGATCCGGATCCCTGATGGGCTGAAGGCTTGCTATCTGACTCCGAGAATGTAGGTTAATCGTAAGAAAGGCCTCAGAATGACGCTGTAACATTTCTTCAAGTCTCCGCTGCACCTCCGCTTCCGTATCCCCACTGGCTGCAGCTGCTGAGAGTCTCTTCCTCTTACTGCCGCCATGAATGCTTAGAGATGAGGCGGCACGTTTCATCTTGCGTTTTTTGGTCTTCTTCCTATTTTCAATACCATTCATGCAAACACTTCCACTTCCAGCACTACTGGGCTTTCGATCAGAGTCGAAACTACCATGGTTACTGTCCCCATCATCGTCCACTCCATCGGCATAGTCATCCACCTCACTTCGCAATAGTTCTTCCTCCTCGCGAAACTTACGACGATTTTCCACAGCGGGCTGGAGCGAACCAACAGAGATTTCAAGACCAAATAATGAAATTAATGGGAGAAAAGTATGAAAAGCATCGATCTACCACCACTCAACCCTGAATGTCTAGACAATTAGTCGAAACAATCTATCGCTAGGTCCCAAACCAACCACAATATTCAAGGAAAACTAATCAACACGCTTCCGCTTTTACAAACAGCGAAATGATTGCTCAGACAAATACGTACCTTTAAGAGCTCTTCCAGAGTGTTAGGCCAAAGATCTCCATCAAAGTAAGGAACGTCTACAGGGGAAAGGCAATTAGTATCCACAGCATCTTGATAGATGTTGTTGTAATCCACAACGATACGTTCATTATGCGCCTTCTGAAGCATTTTACGATACCAATCTTGAAGTCTCTTGGGTTTTGGAATCTTTTGATCAGGAGGGTGCATATGAAAGATGTAGTCATCACCTTCGCCAGGTGGACAGGCCCAAATATGAGCATTGGCAAAGCCTTGTTTCTTAGCATAATGCAAGTAACCGATAAGAATTTCATGATAAACATCTGTACGATACTGCTTCGGCTGAAAGAAGTATACAGAATCCAGGTACGCAATGTAAACGCGTCGCTTGTTTGGTGCAGGACAATCGGAAGAGTACTCCTGCACGTAAAGACCAAAAAAGCAAACCTCCTGCCCTTCTAATTCTTGGAACGCAAAAATAACTTTTGCTCGATAAGGAAACGACTCTGGAAATTTGCCACTATCAGAGAAAATCTCACGCATATATTTCTTAACTTCCACGGTTTTGTTGGCACTAGCAAGAACGCGAATAATGACCTCGTTTGTTTGAGACTCGTTCTTTTTCATGAAATCATTGACCCTTTTTTCAAGAAAGTCACTTAATTTGCACGTCGGTAAGCGTTTCGCAGTGAAACGGTTGGGCGAGCGACAAATCCCGTACATCTTCCTGCACGTATTGCAAACAAAACCGCTAGGCCAAATTTCGTCCATATGGCAAGCGCAAACCTTGTGCCATTTCCGACCACATTCTCGACAATTGACAAACTTTTCACTGACAATAGTGTTGTTTACTTGTTTTTCGAAAAGGTTTTTCCTGAGGTGCCTGCAGGAAGGATATAAATCCCAAATCAGAAAAACTTACACGGGCGAACTTTGATCATCGATTGTAATAGTGCTGCCAGCACTTTGATAACATTTTTCGCAAACAATATACTTATCTAACAATTCCTTCTTCTGGTCTTTTTCTCTAAAAAAAGTAAATTAGAGAACATAAAACTTACTTAGTCTCATAAACGTAATAAACATCGTCACGATTAATGTTACAGGATTTGTCTGTGAGACAGGTGAGAACATGAGGATGATGAACGTAGGCATGACCACAACAGAATCCCAGATTTTGCATCAATGGATCAACAATACCTTCAAATATTTCTGACAACTATGATAAAAACGCAATTACGCATAATTGTACACTCACTCTAGAACAAGCCTTATATATCTTGGAATTTTTCCGATTATACCGCCAAGCGTTGTTAAACATTAACCAAAAATCGTTGACGACGTCCCACGGGTCTAAGTAGTCCCCACTTCTTAGTTTCTTCTCAATGGTTGAAAGATCCATTGGGAATGGAACGATAGATGGATAATCAGATAACTTTAATTCCTCAAAGGGAACTGGAGTGCGGAAATGGACAGAGTGAGGTTCCTGACTCGATATGCTTATCACAAGAGGAATAAAAGCTTCTTTCAACTGTTCCTTAGTCCACGAACATCGCCGACCCGATTCTAAGGTTGTGGAAGGCTCTGATTTGACAGGTATATCCATAGGCTCGTCCTTCTTCAACATCGAAGACCCGTTTGCAGAGGAAGGGGTTAGCGGATCAGTCGCTGACTGCTTAGGTTGACTGCTGGTGGAGTTACTGTAGCCTTGAGACAATCCATTGGACGCTTCAAAGGCATTCTCTAAAGCTTTTACATTAGAGTCGCACAAAACTGAGATCTGAGATCTCGGATTCTTTTGCTCGGACAAAATATCATCTTTTGAATGAGCAGGTGAGGATGAACTCCCATTGGCCAGAGAAATGGGATTGATACGAGACTTGTGCTTCAACTCATTTTGAAGCCGAACGACGAACCTCTGTAAACTTGATAGATAGTCTTGCTCCGTGAGAGACTCTTTAAACATCTTCATTTCTTGGTCTTTAAACAAGGTAAATACAGCCTCTGAACGACAGTCATTGTAAGTAGGCGGAGGGAACACCTGTCCAGCATGACTCCGAACTATTTCTTCACGTCTAGCTGCATCGTATTCCAAACGCCAGTCAAAACCGTTCGTGAGAGGAGTTGCTGAACTGGCTGTCTGTCGCATCTCGGAGACGCTTGGAGTTGAACCAGAATGATACACCTGAATATGTTCCCCGTTCACAGGAAAAGACTGATCATGGGAAATAACACTATTACGATCATTAAGAGAGTATCGACCTGTAGCAGAGCTATCAAGCGGGAGACCCGACGGGCAGACAACACAACGAGGATCGTCACAGTGATCTGAATGATTTTTGAGCTGTTTACAGGTCGCACAATGACGAAAAGTGCAATCGCTACCACGATTGCAAGTGCAAATATGCGAAAGTAGTTGGCGCATCTGAGCACAGACGGTAAAAGGACAAAGATTTGGGACTCCATTTAATTCCTTCTGACGACATTCCATAGAATGTCTAAGAATCAAAACATACTTTCTAGCAACTGAAAGTGTTTCGTCAAAAATAGGAGCACCATTTGTTTGGTGTTCTCGAAGTTGAGAACAAGAAGGTTGCATTGTTTACAACTTTTATGATATTGTCATAGAAACCTACGAAGGAAACGCATAACAACGTCAAAACAAATGTCCATTAAGAATGCAAAATACACATGAAAGGGGATACTGATATTGCACTAACCAAACACGTAAAACCACAGGTGCCAAGTGAAAGATGGCGTTTGGAGTCAAAAGGGCCTGAAGTTCGGCATAAAGCTTAAACAAACCTAGAGGTTCAAACAAAGTATTGCCCTTACCAGCATGCAAAATGCAAATGCAGGTAAAAATAGTGTGGCGCAATTTAATACACATACAAATACATACAGTTAAAAGGCAGAATTTTCCTAAATCTATTCCTGTGTAAAACAATAGGAGAAGAAAGAGCTAAAAGGGGCTGCTCAAATCTGCAGGACAGAGAAGAGGGTGAATTATGGCCAACTGGTGGATATTGGGATAAAATCCCTTGAAAAGTTCGCCATTGTGCAAGAAAAGTTCGCCTACAAACGCATACATTGTTTAAAAGGGAAAAAGTAATTTTTAAGAATCATGCACCAGTCTACAAAGTTTCCACGTTTTCGGTTGGCTCTAACCTAGTAAACTACGCTTCAAACTTCATATAGGCGCTGCATATTGCAGAAGCAACCAACTTTTTAACGAAAAATTTCGCGTATTCTTATCCTACCCTCCATTAGAGTGCCAACTTTACTGAGCGAATTGTGGCGTCATGAGACTTTCCATAGGGTGGAAGAAGGCAGCAAGTGTGGCTGGATACATGTATTCCGAAGTGAACAGAACAAGTGGGCTTGGACATGGTCCGAATGCCGGCCCACGAGTGCAAAGGCCAGACAAATCCTAAAGTGGCCGCTAAACATCATGCGGTCACATATGTAATATATTCTAGCTTGTTTAGGTGGACTTCTATAGGTGAGAGGCGGGAAGCAATTGGGAACGTGGATCACTTGCGTGAAGCCGGCGGGAAGTCTCTCTCCAATTGACACCTCCTACTCACCGCATCTGTATCTTATTCCCCATCCTTCCTACAGCGATGCCTAATAAATCG